GGCAGAAACCACATGATCAAAAATCAAGGCTACTGCTTGTCTGAATGTAGCCGCAGCAGTACTGGAAACAGATTTACATGAAAAGAGATTTATACACTCAGGTTGGAAAGAAAGGCAACATCTCTAAGCAATAACAAGCTGCTGAAAGATGACCATTAAAAGAAAATGCAGGCAGCAGTTACTGCTGTCGGCAAACCAATTTAACTTACTTCCTCACACTGTCTGAAGATCGATTATTATCAAGAAGTCGAAGACAGATGCCAAGGGCTTGAGCCATATTGCTCTGAAAAAGAACAGAACATCATGGCTAAAAGATAGCAAAAGCTAAAGGCTGAGGCAGAGGTGAAAAAGGAACAAGAAGATGTATGCATGCAGAACCAATCCGTGAAATAAAAATATGAGAACTGGTAGATCAACTATTGTTCATCAAATGAAAACATCATAAGCTATATGGAGTCTAAAAAATAGGTATTTCATTAAAGACAATTTCTTACTTACGATGCCAGAAAAAAGTATAACTATACGACCTGTTTACTTCACCAGGTTAGTAAATTATTGCATATCTAATTCCATGAAATTGATTTGATTAAATAATGGTTGAACAATCAGAATGAAGATAGATGGCAAAGTACAGATAGTAAAAACAAGCATATCCTTTGTTTTTCAAACATACATATAGAAAAATTCATATGATATCAAATATATGACCTAGGAGCATCGCTCCCATCACCCATTCTCACAAACTTTGACTTGGTTAAGTTGATATTGAGACCAAAAACCACTTGGAAGCTCAGTAAATACAATCTTAGGTTAAGCATTGCCCTCTCACCCCGTTCAAAAAAACACTAAAAGTATCATCAAGCAACCTCCTCCTTCACCCTCACTCACCTCTAAATTTTTAAATCACTCCAGCTCTCTGGCTTTTAGCAACATTTTATTCAAGACTTTCATGACAACAATAAAAAATAAGGGGAGATAATAGCTCACCTTGTATAAGACCTTTGGAGGTCTTCAAAAATAAAATAGACCACCATTCACCATGACTGCAAAAGAAGTTGTAGTGATACAAGAGTTAATTCACCTACACCATTTATCCCCAAAACCCAATCTCCTTAATATATAATCAATCAATTTACATGATTGTAGGCTTTCTCCATATCCAACTTGCATAAGAGACCCTCTCTATTTCTGAATAACAGCTCATCCACAACCTAACTAACCACAAGAGTCGCATTCAGAATTTGTCTTCCTTCTACAAAAGCATGTTGACACTTGCCCACTATTTTAACTATCACCTTAGCCGTCCTTCTAGCCAATACTTTCACAATTAGCCTATAGACACTTCCAACTAAACTGATAGGTCTGAAATTCTTAATATTTGTCATTCCCTCTATCTTAAAAATCAGTACCAATAAAGAAGAATTTGAGAATTTAATAAAAGATTCAGATTCATGCAATTCCTTAAAAACTTGAGAACATTTTCTTTTATTACATGCCAAAATTTTTGTAGAAAATTCATGTTGAAACCATCAGAAACCAGGAGTCCAATCTACTAACTGAACTCCAAAAATCTACAAGCAACCTCCACCGTATAACAAGCAACTAGATTAATATTAAGAGAATAAAGATGCATATACAATACTCACCTCACTTTCAGGATGTAAACGTGACTGGAATATTATTAATATAGTCTGTAGAGTCTTAAGTTGAACACTCTCATCAGCCATTTCAGCATGCTGCAAAAATGTAAGCATTTTTAGACAAAAATAAGGAACAAACATGCAAGATTGCATTTGCATACTTTCATACATAAGAAGAGTAAGACTTTCATACATAAGAAGAGTAAATCTGACACGCGCATTTTTTCATACATAAGCATAGTAAGAGAATAAATATTATTAGAAAAACAGGAATATAATACAGGTATGGAGAATAAGGAATTCTTGTTTAAATTAGTCTACAGTCTTAAATTGAACACTCTCTTCAATACGAGAGAGCAACTAAATCTTTTTGCAAAGTAAGCAAAGAAACTCCCCAAGAAAAAGAAAATTATAAATCTAGACCCATAAAACTGCAAAATTAGCCCATCTACCTCAAAGATAATATGGACAGAAATCCATTTAAATCCGAATTGATCTAATAGAACTGACACATAGGCATCAACATACCATGTCCAAGCATCACCTACAGCCCACTCGCAAAGAGCACGAGACTTTACTGATAGTATCGGAAAGCAATTCTATTTAATTATCTTCTCTATTAGTATAAAACCTAAATAAGTTGTACATATGAATACATAATCCAGCAAAAATTTTCTGCACATAGGAATCACCACTAGGTGTCTTGTGAAGGGATGTCTTTTCTATTAAAATATTTCAGCAAAGCCTTCTTATGGCTAAAACTTTGGCAGACATTTAGGGGTAATTATCAAATAATCACTTGTATTTTGTTATTTGTACCAGATTCGTCCCTCTCTTTTTAATTGAAACTATTAGCCCCCAAAATTTTCCACCATATCAAATCAATATACCAAATAACAAAAATCAGTTAATTTCATCAGATCTTTTTCTTTGAAAGAGAAATAACATCCATTCACACGCACCAAGGAGGTGCAGCCTGTCTATGAAATTGACATGTCAAGCAAAATATCTATGAAGTCCCCAAAATCTTTTTCTAGTTGTTCTTAAAAGTTGGTTAGGATGAAGATAACTATAAAAAAGGACCAATATACCCTCTAACACAATAGATTTATTCCAATGTTTTTTTTTTTAAGAATAAAAATCAATGTATTATATATATACACCAAGGGGATAAAACCCATATACAAAGCTTTACAAACCTTTTGAAGTGTCTATCAAATCTCCAAGATCCCCATAAGTAAAAAGAGGAGAGGATGACCCTTAATCAAAAAACCAAAGATTTGGAGCCAAATATCCTTGAACCTGTTGAAAGAAAATTTTATGGCCTCAAAAGCTCTTATGTTCCTTCCTTCCAAATAGCCCATAAGGGGGCCAAGAGGAATAAGGCCTACATGCTTGTTATAACACTTATTTCCTTGGAGGCTCTCCTGCTCCCCTTTAACAGAACCAGCAATTACCCAATGAACCACTAGAAGACTTTAGGTCATAGACCAATATTGATATGAGATGGGTCACCTAAGAAGAAAGTGGTTGGTTGATTCTCCATCATTCTTCTATAAGTAGCATTCATTCACAATGACTTGTCCCTATTAATCAGATTGTCTATCGTCAGAATGCATCCTGTTGATGCTTCCCATGAAAAAAAAAAAAGTCACTCTTAAAGAAGCATTAATCTTCCAAATTTTCCTCGAAAAATTCTCATCAGCCACTTTGTTCTTTATTAAATAAGATTGTAGGATATCACCAAAAAACCCCTTTCAAACTAAGCTTCCACTTCGGCTCATCCATGGCTTCATTTGGTCTTTCACATTCAAATAAATGATTGAAAAGATCAACATATTTATTCGCGTTCCAGTCAATAAGGTTTCTTGTAAATCCACCAGCCAAGCATCATTGCCCAATGTATCGGAATATGATTCTACTACCATTGCCTTTTTATTCCCGGCTAAGGAAAAAATTATAAGGAAGTTTTTTGCTAGTGCTTCAACCTCAGTCCATTCATCCAGCCAAAAAAATTTGTGCCCCGATCCAATCTCCACTAAATACACTATTGAAATTCCTCCTTTCCTCATATTATTTTCTTACTTTATCCAACATTGTATAGTAGCCTGGTGTTTTCAGTATACCAGTCCTTCCTTTCTATCCCAAATTCGACTGTGATCACTTTCCTCTAGAAAATCTTCTGCTCTTTTCATGAATCTCCATAGCTTAGCTGATTCAAGGACCACCTCTTTGAGGCAGGCCTTTAATGACATCCCAAGCCACCAAGCAATAGTGAATCCTTTAAATCAAATGAATCGCAAAAAGAACTCTAGTGCAAAGTAAGTACAACGAAACAAACAACTTGAACTCCAAATCAAAAGATTATAGCTTTCACAGTTCCTATGAAGTAAACAAATGAATATATCGGAAAATTTTCCATGAGTTTTTGCCCATAAGGAAGCAAAAATGTCATCTTTTCCCATAAAATTTCTAAAAGTGGGGATTTATCTCCAAAAGACTGGTGATTTCTTTCCAATCATATCGTCCATAAACCTACAAATAGAACTCCTTACAATAGGGGTTTCGTTTTTCTTCCAAAATCTAACAAAGCTCGAGCTGCCAGCTTTTGAGATTCCATATGGAAGAACACAGCATGTGGCAGAGAGTAAATATTTCCTACAAGGCCTAGATTCCAAGACACTGCCCGAACCTTGTCAAGGGTGTGGAAAAAGGACCGAACAAAGTTATTGCAACTAGCTCTAAAAAGAAAAAGAAGATTTCAGCTATTTTACTGCTCAGGATTTTGCCACTACTTTGGGAGAAATAAACCTGAGAGCCTTCAGGAGAGGCTTCTTCCTCACAAAAAGTCAAAGGTTCTTGGTTGAGGAACCTATTTTTGGGGTTAATGATCACCAAATGTCCAGAGAAGAAATTAGATAGCTCAAGACTTTCTCATGTACGTGGTGGAACCCTCGGTGCCTTGTAGAGAATACACTTCTTTTTATACATAAACCAACTCTGTGCCACCACTGCAGCACTACACACACACACACACACAATGAGAATAACGGAAGAAATTTGTATTGTTTATTAAAGAAAAATGAATAACATTCCTTTCACAGTTCATTTATGTAATTAATTATTGTCTGAAGTTCATCCAATCAAAAGAGTCTTTGGAGAGAGTCTTCCTGGAGATTTCTTGACTATCGTATTTTAACAGCATAAATTTTTATATTAAAAATGCAGAAGTTTTTTCTTTCCTGAAAGAGTATACAATTATGCTAACATACAAAGTTAAAAACTATAAAACAATAAACTCCAAAGCTAATGTTGTTGCTGACAGTCAGAACACTATACATGCTTAGTATACATACAAGCTTACATCTTTTAAAGTAGAAAGAATTTCCTTCAGAGCCGATGGGTCAACTGCATCATGAGATATAAGCTTTTGCAGACAAGAAAGTCCTATAACACTAAGCTTGACTGTTCTGACTTCACAGGCCATTAGAAAGATCCGAAGTATGTCCTCATTGTTTGAAGTTTCACTAGGATTTGATAATGAACGAAGCTGCAAATGACAATTAGGAAGCATGTAAGTTTCAAAAGATCAGTACCTCTCAGGGAACCATATACATCACTTAATTCCACTATGTTTAATGCACTTGATGTCAGTTACTTGAACTAACTACTAGAAAATGAAATAATTGGAGCAAATAATTTGTATGAGACTAATTTATCGAACTGAGTCTAAATGAGGTGGTGACCAAGAAATTGTTTACAGAACAAATGCAACTTTCCTAGCCTCTCACCACTGGCCATACCAAAGTTCACTAAACTCAACATTTACGTTTAGATCATCTCACTACAAATAATCCAGAATCCAGAGTCCAGATTATAGTTCTTTTTTGCTAGCTACTTTCTTCTTTCTTGGAAACTAAACCATATATTGATCAACAAAATCTTAAAATCAAACTCAATGTTACCCCGTGTTCATCATAGACTCAGCACCAGTAAAATTTAAATTCAAATATTACATAAATAGCATTTGATAACTAAATTATAATCAGAAACAAGTGACGTTAACATCAACCAACAAAACGCGCATACACGGAAAGTACTCCATCCGGCGAATTACTATTACGTGAGCATAAATGATGCACACATATATATTCACAAATATAATGCATTACTCTTAAAAGCGACATCCATGCCGGTTCAAATAGAAGGAACCACAGTAATCACCGTAATCTATTTATTTTTTTATCCAATCACATGCCTATTCGCCTAAATATGTATACATTGACGCAGAAACATACATACATGTAGCCGTATATATGTATGTTTGCATTGCTATGCGAACACTGACCTTGAGTATGGCGTGTTCCGCCCCGTCCTTCACGGCGGGATACCTTCGGCGAGCCTCCGCAGAGAGAGCACGAAGATCGGACTCTAAGGCCGCCATGAAAGCCATCTGTGTTGAAGCTTTCTGGCTTTTGTGTTTATGCACGAGAACCTGTGCCCAGGTAATTCACTGTGTGGATTCGACGGTTAGGGTTTTTCTGTTAACGAGGTAGTTTGTTTAGGAAGGGAGAGAAATTAAGAGGCATCGAGATTGGAGAGAGATCAAGCTGAGAGGAAATTCAGGAAATTCAGCTTGCAGATCTTATGGGAGCATAGGAGTGTTAGCGAGGGAGCAAGACAGGGAGAAGACGAATATTTGCACGTGCCGCAGACACGTGTCTTAATAACTTCACATATCTTCGCCCGTGTCTGCGTTTTTTTTTTTTTTTTTGTGTGTTTAAAATTGCATATTTTAACCAAAAATAATTCATGAATTAAAAGTCATTTTTTTAACATGGAAATTTCAATTTTTCATTTTAAATAAAAATTTTAAAATATAAGTATGGAGTTTAATTTTAAAGCATATACTATAATTTTTATTTTTATTCTTTATAATAAAAAAAAATTTACAACCTTTAATTTAAAAAATTAATAAATAAATACTTTGAGCACCGTATAATAACGCAAAAATTATATTAACTCAAATATTTTAAAATTCAAACGTAAATTGTTATTTACAATTTTTTTAAGGATTATATATAACAATACGAAAATTATTGTTTACACTATTTAAAAAAATATTAATAGTTTAAATTTTAAAATAAATTTTAAATTTTAAATAAAAAAATTTATACCCACTAAAAATACATTAACGTTTTGATATAAATTCTCTTTAAAAAATAATTTAAATAGGCAAATTTATCATTCATGTTTGAGTAAATATATACAAAAATTTATATTAAAAGTTGAGGACTTTTTTATAAAAATAGAACAGTCTCGTTTTTTAAATTTTGATTTTTTTTATATTATTTTTATTTATTTCACATCCTTCGTTTTTATTTTATTTTCTCTTTTTTTCTTTTATATCTCATTTTTTTTTCTATTCTTTTTGCAATCTAGTTTTTTTTTTTTTATTCATTTTATTCACCTTTCAAAATTTACATACTCAAGATATATGAATATTTTATTAAGCACTAATTAATATTCAAATATTATTATAAAATAGGTCTAGAGGATTTTGTATATTTTCTATAGTATTCAATTAAAGTTTTTCAAATGGGCTTAAGGGAAGAAATATGATAACAAAGGATAAAGGATTCTTAATAATCAAATATCGAATGAAAGTGCATAAGCATAGTACAAAACTTTCTTATAAGATTTAACTCTATGGACAGGTTAACCATAGGACATTATTATAGTTTTATTTCTTAATTCTAAAGACAAGAAAACGACCATAATTTAGTTATGCAAGATCATGTACAAAGGGTAAGGTCAGCAAATACAATATATTTGATGTGCACTCCAAATTCGTAAAGGTCTTCAAATACCTTGACTTAAAGAAATTGAAAATTTTCTCGCATAAACGACAATGCTTTCTGGATCACCGTCCAAATTTGTTGCCTCATTTTCATGGCCTTCCACCTTAATCTAATTAAGTAGTTATCGAAGGTCTCACCATTCTTTAGCAAGTCGTTCTCAAGCATTAATATAGGTCATCTCTAATTGATTGTTGTCATCATGTTATTTTGCAAAGCTTTTAAACACTTTATTCCAATCAATTTTTTGTATTCTCCGTGGGTCGTGGTACCATATCATGGTATGTCCTTCCAGGTTGAGAACATGTAACTCCAAAGGTCGAGCCTTTGGTAGGGATAATTTTTCATAAATAATGAAAGTTATTTTTAATAGGGATGGTCTTTAAGTCATTTTTTTTTGGTGAACTTTGGCCTAAAATTCAAACATTCTTTGAAA